CACCAACATATGAAAAGTTGCGACCGACAAGTGTTCGTAGCAATTAAAACTCTCGTTGGTATTTTGCGCAAGTCGTCTCACCAGATCCTGGCTGTTCTCATAAAACTGCGGCACGGATTTCTTGAAGATCTGCATGCGAAATGCGGCTAAAACCGTTTTTCTCTCTTTTAGCCACTTTGCACCGTTATTGAACAGCATGCTGTCTCCGAGCCACGGTTTTAAGCATCTATAGCGATGTGAATAATTTTGTATATGGATAGAATTAAAATTCATTGACGCATCAAGCGCAGGTGGTGTTTTTGAGTGTGAAGAAACGCAAAACTAAATAAGTTCACTCTGATTAAGGGTCCAACACAAACCGAATATAAAATTGTAATGATGTTCAGGTGACAATAAAATCAAGAGAAAAGTACAATAATAACTAACTTTTCGATCATTATTCGAACATTATCTTGACATCTTAACGTTACCGTGATTATCTGGACTATAATCCGCGTGGAAAATGATTTATTTTGATTTATTTACCTGTATTCTGCGGGTTTGTCGATGTGTTCAGGGTTACTTAAGATAACCTCTAGATCTTGCGGATCTGTCAAAAAGATGTAAGCTCGTGTTCCAAAAAGTATTGATAACACTGAACCGTATTTAGCGCAGAGTTTAACAAGAAGGATCAGTGCATCTTCGGGATTTTTTTGTAACATCAATAGACTATGACCAATGATGGGTAATCGTGGTGGATCTAGAAGGAAATATACAGTAGTTTTAATGTATTTAATTACAACGGACGATTATGAATCAAACGCGAAATGGGAAATATTGTAAGAAAGATTTTCGCCTCTTTTTGAATAGTTGAATTTTTTACTTACGTGGTAACTTTAATGAAAGTCGCACCACATGCCTAGTGTCAATATAATAATGTAGTGTAATAAGAATGGCAATGATTATAGCCAGTAAAGTATAACTAATGTTCGGTAGGTACGATGTCGTCGTTAGTACAGCATCCATGGTTACAAATAATTATTGGTATATTGTTCAGTACGAAGCGTTCTGTCTGGCTCCTTCTTGTATACTACTCTACTGTATATGGATCGCAACATTATATAAAGACGGTGATAATTTATATTCATATAGTAAGTTCTGCGATTACATTATTTCTTGTTTGACAGTACATAATTCTCTCGATCGAGATAACATTTACCTAAGAAATCACCGTCGACCTNAGACCTATACAAATGCCGCGTATATGTTTCCACAATCTTCTTCGAGGTCATCTGCATACCTGCTACTCGTTCTTTTATATAAGTCCTTTTTGCGGTCGTAATGAAATCTGAATTGCGGAACTCTGTTCCCGGATACTTTCGGGATATTTAGGCATAAAAGTTTATTGGAAATACTATCCGAGTTTCCAGATTTCCGGAGATATTCGGATAATAATATACTTGACTCTCTCTCTCTCTCTCTCTTTCTCAAGTATTCGTTCAGGAACATTTAAGATTAACTTGTCTGAAATATTTCGTGTAATAGATACACACTTATTTGCATTTTTCAAATTGCGATAAAAATTTCTGGTTTTTAACTCTGGGCAAAGAACGCGATCATAAAATTGGAATTGAACAGAATTAGCTGCATAATTTAACGTAATCTTGGGCAAAGTCAATGCAGATTGCGATGACGGCGGGAAAAATTTAATA